TTTTTAAATAATTTAACCTAAGATAAGATCGAATCTATAAAAAAAAATAAATAAATACACTATTTAATGGGCCACTAAACTCAAACGAACACGTGCATATTATAATAATTATATAATTATTGTAAGGTATATATCCCTATAAACTTAAACAATAAGCTATGTTCAAAAAAACTTAAACAATAAGCTATTGAACCGCCATTCCAATTTTTAACACCTCTCACGTGTCCGTTTAATAATTTTAACGGCTATAAATAAAGAACGATAACGAAGGTCTCTGTACCCAACAGCTTGGAGACGAAGCAAGCTCACGCTTACACGGACAGAGAAAAAAGAAAAACAAAGGGAAAAAAAAGCACATCCTTTGATCGTACCTGTTCCCGAATCGTACGAATCAAAACTCTAACTTTCCAAAAAAAAAAATTTCAGGAGGAATTAATGTCAAAATAATACGGAATTAATCTACCCGGTAATGGCGGAGAAGAGCTTCATCCTCCTTCACGTTCTCGAACCCAGTAGATGCTTCCACACGCTAAATTCTAACTATTACATGTGTCCTTTGAATCCTGAATTTTCGATGTTGGTTTTGACAAATTCTAAATCTTTGATTCCCACTGCTTTGAGTAAGGAAGAATTTGATGGGAAAAATAGGAAAAAGAAAATGCCTTTGATTGATTAATCACGTTTTAGGAATTAGGGTTGTTGTTTTTTTGGTTGATGAAGGTTAATTGATATGGGAATTTGAAGCAGTATGAGTCTGTTATTAGATGGAACATGAATGTGGTCGATTCAACTTCGTTGGGGTTCTATTAAGAGTGTGAAGATAGGGTTGGTGCTGGGTGTTTGGAAATAAGATGTGAGGTATAGTAGTGTTCTGAGTTTGGGGTGATGCAAAAGAGAGCTATGGGAAGGGGTAGAATTGCAAGTGTTGGTACGGTATGTTGTTGTCCTTGTTAAGCAGGCGCTCCTTGGAGGTCGATTCCAGGCACGTTCTCATTCTAATAATGATCATTGATTCTGTGTTTTCTGAATGTGCAATGGTGTCTTATGATATAAGAGAACTTCAGTTTCATTTGTGTTTGGCCCGGTATTTTATTTATGACAAGATGTTTTCAATTTTTATGCTGAGAGGGTTTTAATGAGATAGATATATATATATATATATATATATTTTCCCTTCTGTTTTATGGATTTACTTTTCTTGCAGTTTGTGTGTGTGTGTGTGTGTTTAGTATGGATTTGATGAATAATGTGTTACAATGCTGTTGGCAGAGATTCCTATGGATTTGCTCTGAGACCTCAACACATACAAAGATATAGAGAGTACATTCCTATCTACAAGGTAGGTCTTGGTCTTCTTAGCCATTACGAGCAGAGACTTGTGTTGTTGGCAGCTAATGAAATCATGGTTTTTAGCATGTAAGGAATGGGGGGGAAAGCTTACTCTGGGTTCATGGACAAAATGGATAAGCTGCAAATATCTCTTTCTAAAAAAACACTTGAAACCAGCTTACAATATATCCATTGGCCTCAAAGTAAATGTTTTTCAAAATCTATGGAGTCTTCAGGAAGTGTTAGTGTCCAGGACTTCCTTTTTTGAAGTGTTTTCCTTTTAAATAAAGATTACTAAAGCATTAAACCTTTAAATATTGGTACATTTGTCTATCTTATTGACTTAATAATTCATTACATTAGGAGGAGGAGGCGGAGAGATTAGAGAAATGGAAAATTTTCCTTGAACAACATCAAAAACCTGCCCAAGCATGCTTTTCTAAGGAGGAGGACGAAACTCCTGAGTTTAAACACAAGGGTTCTTCTGAGGAGGAACATAAAGAGATATTGCCAGTGGGAGCTACTGAGTTGAAAGAGGAGACTTCTTCTAAGGAGGAAGACAAAGCATCGTTGCCGGCTGTAGCTACTGTGTTGAAAGAAGAGGTTAGTTTAGAGGAGGAATGTAAAGAAACTTTACAAATTGAAGCTATTAAGTCAAAGAAAGAGACTGCTTCTGATGAGGAAATTAAAGAGACATCAAGGGCTGGAGCTTCTGAGTTAAAGGAAGAGTTTATTTCTGAGACAAGCGAGGAAGGTGATGCTTCAAGGGGGAAGTCTGATTTTGCTGGTTCAACAGAATCTGAAACCAAAAGGGAGGCTCAACTTTCAGAAGAAAGAAAAACATGTAAAGTACAAAAAAGATGGGCTCAGACTAGACCATCTCTTCATTTTATTGAGAAAATGATGGGTTTGCGTGTTAAGAAGGGAAAGAATACGAAAGATGAGAAGGTGAATGGAAGTGGAGACCGTTTTGTATCAATAAAAGAGGCAGAACATTTAAGTGGTGAATCTGAAGATGTGTTAGAGGAGGTCTGTGTAAATGAAATGTCAGCCAACAATATGAATGCATCAAAAGGAGAAAGTGATCTAGGTGATGGGACCTCTCAGGAACCTTTCTTTTCTTGGAAACAGGAGCTAGAGAACCTTGTGCATGGGGGACTGCCAAAAGATCTCAGGGGAGAGGTAAGCTTGACACTGTTAAGTTTGTTATTCTCAAAGGGTGATATTCATTTGGATTGTGGAATAAACACTGACCACTGTTGACCTTACAGCTATGGCAAGCCTTTGTCGGGGTCAAAGCAAGACGAGTGGAGAGATATTACCAGGATTTGCTAGCTGAAGAAACTAACGATGGCGAAAATAATTATCAAAATAGCTCATCTAGTTCAGCCAGCAAATGGAGAAGACAAATTGAGAAGGTCATTAGATGCATGTGTCTTGGACTTTGTTGTTCAATCTTTTCAATTTGTAGGTGCTGCATCATTTGTTTCATATTGTCATTCATATTTCTCCCTAGACTAGTTCTTATTTACCTTACAGGATATACCGCGGACATTCCCAGCTCATCCAGCCTTAAATGAGGATGGTAGGGATTCCTTGAGGCGTTTACTAATTGCTTATGCCAGACACAATCCCTCTGTTGGATACTGCCAGGTTACCAGTAATATAAGAGTTTATTTTCTATAAAGTTACTGCCTCTGTTACAAACTTTTAGTTAGCTCAATATCTTCAATGGATGTCTCGCTAACTCTTTTTCAAACATACATCACATGACAGAAATACTCCTAACCTTTATCTAAAATCCCTTTCTCTCCAAAGTATTATGTCCTCTTACTTCCCTAGGTTCTCCTGTCCTTAAATCTATCTAAGACTTTATTCAATATGTTCACATTTCTTAGTTTTCATTGATGATTTAAAAGTAGAGCACAAATATGTAATAATTTTGTTAATTGAGAATTTTTAAGACCTTAGAACAATGGGAGGTCTAGTACCATGATTTTGGTTATGGTATGGCTGAACTTAAGAAAATTAACCATACATCTTACCTATAGTATAACTAAATTAGGTATTTCCTTTCTGCATCCATTTCATTGGAAATGATCCAGCCATATATTAAGTTATAATCTGACATTTTGGAAGCTTAGTGAGCATGCTAATAAGTTTGAACTGTAGAAGACACGTCGTTGATCCCATCATTAGATTTTTTGGATATGTTTAAAGTTTTTAAAGTTTCAACGATCTTTCTATGCTGTATGTCCGTGATTAATTTTTTTTCCCATGATATCATTATGCCCTTATTGTTGTCATTCAGTTTGACATCAAAAGACATGCAGGCAATGAATTTCTTTGCTGGACTATTGCTACTTTTGATGCCTGAGGAAAATGCCTTTTGGTAGGTTCAGGTAGCTTTTGACAAAATGAAAATGATTAAATTTGTTCTTCACTTTGATTTGTACTTGTTCCCATTAACTGGTTCTGGTGCAGAAACAATTTATATATTCCTTTTTTATCTTAGTAACTGATCCTAGAAGTGGTGTCTAGTTTGATGCAAAATGAGTCTCTTTTTTAGGCATGGGGTCTTATCATTCTGGCTTTGATTATTGTACGACAGCATACCCAATACACATACACTCATACATGATATCATATAGCTTGGTTGCCTTTACAGACTGGTTTTCTTGATGGAATTTCTCAGGACCTTGGTGGGCTTTCTTGATGATTATTTTGATGGGTACTATACTGAGGAAATGATAGAATCGCAGGTTTGATTTCACCATGTTCTTTAACAAATATCTCTAGCTGCTTCCTAGTTTAGCATCTATCCCCTATCCTCATGCTCACTAAGATGCTGGGATCTTCCTTAGTTTTATAATTTCCATTTTTTTTCAATTTTTTTTTTTTTCTTTTTGGATAACATGGGTATCCAAACCTTTAGTCTGACTAATCCCACGGGTGCTTGCAAACTACCCTGTCCATTAGTATGGGTCAAATCTCCACCCAAGGGTGCCTAGTGACCTGGCGTGGCCCATTGAAATCATTTGCAATTTCACTTGAATGGTGATAGAGGGATTCAAACCTGTATTTTTAGCATGGTAGCACGGTTCACATGACTCCTTACCGCTTGGGCCAACAAGTTTAAAATTACTATTCTAATTGATTCTCCTATCTTGTTAGGTGGACCAACTTGTCTTTGAAGAGCTGATGCATGAAAGATTTCCTAAATTGGGTTTGTTTGCTTAACATTATCCCTATTAATCATCTTCTTTGGTGTCTCCTATTATATATGAAATAGTATTGGTGGTTTTTTATTCTGTTTATGATAATGGTGCAGTTCATCATCTGGATTACTTGGGAGTGCAGGTAGCATGGATTTCTGGTCCCTGGTTTCTTTCCATTTTTATTAATATGCTTCCTTGGGAAAGTGGTAAGATTTAGGCAGTCTAATTTGCTACAGAAATTTCAAACTGATTTTGCCACGTTGTCCATTTTATTGCTTTCTAATGTTGAGTTTTAAGATTGGCTGTAGAGTTACCACTCATGCTTTTCTTGTAATGGATTCCTTTTCTTCAGTTCTTCGCGTATGGGATGTGCTTCTATTTGAAGGAAGTCGTGTTATGCTATTCCGAACAGCACTTGCTTTGATGGAGTTATATGGTACTGGGAATTTATAATTATCAAAGATGTCTGAAATGTTAAATGTGAATGATAAAGCAGCCGACCAAATTTAATTTCCTGTAGGTCCTGCATTAGTTACAAGTAAAGATGCTGGGGATGCCATCACTTTATTGCAATCTCTTATTGGCTCTACCTTTGACAGCAGCCAACTTGTTTTGACTGCTTGCATGGGTTTTTTGGCTGTAACTGAAACTAGATTACAAGAGTTAAGAGAAAAGCATAGACCATCAGTCTTAGTTGTTGTTGAGGAAAGATCAAAAACAGGTCAAGATTGGAAGGATACAAAAGGAGTTGCAACTAAACTGTATAGTTTTAAGCATAACCCTAGGTCACTGGTAGAAGAAAAAAGCATTGCTGAAGGTCTTGAAGATGCACCTGACTTGAGGGATCATTCTTCTAACCTGGATGAACTGTTTAGTGGCCTAAATTCAGAAATAGATTCCCTACCAGATCTTCAGGAGCAGGTAGTTGCATTGTCTTCTTGGTACTTCTGACTGATGTTTACTCTGCAATATGTCATGATGCTTGTTTTATTTGTAAGAGTCTGCATAATATGGGCCCGTGGTTGCTTTACTGATTTGGTAAGTTCTGTGAAGTGTAAATTTTATCTTCACATCATTTTAACTAGTCAATTTAACTCAGCAATTGCTTTAGCTACCCTTCTTAGGTGATAGGAACTCAGATAGCTGTATATGGCTTCAGCATAACAAAACTAACACAAGTTAAAGGGTTATGTTTAAGTTATTATTGGCGTTTTGGCAATAGATTGAATATTGTGCTGCTTGAGATATTACTCAATATAAAAAGGATTAACGGGGGTCCATGACCTGAAATGCCTGAAGTCTTAGTCTGTTTAGACACCTAGTTTTTGGTTGCATATTACAACTGGATATAGATTTTGAAGATAATTCTGTTCTTGTACCAATCCTGCATTACTATATTCCATATCTTGGGACCAAGTTTTCTAATTATAGGTACTGAATCTACTCATTAGCTGAAAAAGTTACCATAGTTATTCTAGGTAGTCTAGCAGTGTTCCAATTGTTGTTGCTTTATTACTTGGTGAAAGATAAGTATGATCCTAAGCAGTTACTTTTAAATTTCAATAATAAACAGCTTGTGTGCAGGTGATTTGGTTGAAGGTTGAGTTGTGTAGGTTGCTGGAGGAGAAAAGATCTGCTATACTTAGGTAAGCAGTTAACCTAGTTAATAGTTTCTGTTTACAATATTTTCTTTTAAGTATAATCCATCCTTACTTTAGTCTGCCTTCATTCTATGGGTGATTTACATGGGTACTAGGATTCGACGGTTATAGCTTAGCTTTTCCCTTCAGAAGACATTCATGTACATGTAGTAGGCCTCCTGATGCCGTTGCACCTTTTCATGTGGGACATATCTATCTGGTCCTTTAGTGATCAGTTTAAATGTAAATATTGCTTCTGGTTCTGGATTTTGATTCTTGTCAATCTGCTGATATAAACCATCAGTGTTTTTGTTTGTGTTTCCTATTCTTTTCCAGGGCTGAGGAGCTAGAGACAGCACTTATGGAAATGGTCAAACAAGATAATCGACGGCTACTGACTGCAAGGGTACATTTGAATTCATTGTCACCAACCCCTATTTCTGTATAATATCTGACAACCAAATCAATTTGGATGACATAAAAAAAAGGGTCATTTAACTGCTAAATATAGCATCAGTGAAGCATTTTGTATCAGTCTGCATAGGGAGCAAGTGGACTATAGAAACAAACACTCATAGAATTCGTATCTTCTCAATCTTCAAAAAGTGAATTAATGATGATGCAGATTGAACAGTTAGAGCAAGAGGTGGCCGAGTTACGACAAGCCCTTTCTGATAAGAAAGAACAAGAATCAGCAATGCTTAAGGTTTGATTTTTCCCTCGTCACTTCTAATGCCATCATTCAGAACCATGATTAAACTTCCACAGATAATCCTGGCTAATATTTCAAAACTCAAACATGCTACAGGTCTTGATGCGGGTAGAACAAGATCAAAGGATTACAGAAGATGCTCGCAGAAGATCAGAGCAAGAGGCAGCTTCCCGGAGGCATGCACTTACGGTGCTTCAGGTTCTTCTTTGTTCTTGATGTCCTAGTGTTCCAGATGTCCTAAGAGGTTTACATTGTGAGATAACCCCCCCCTTGCATCAAATCCAATCTCAACCTGCATAATAGTACTCTTTTCAACATAAAATTAGTGGAGAACTTTAAAGAAGACTTTGAATTATTCCTTTCTGAACCATCTTGGATCTTTGATTTTCTATCTTTGAATATTTGTATTCCTTTCTGGTCCTTAATTCTTTGACCATGGGAATCAAGTTTTCTTTTAATTATTCTATTAAGGACTTCATTCTTATTTTTCTGTTAATTTCTTTTAAACTGTGAACCTGTGACAAATGCATGGCTACTGAAAATCAAGCAGAAAAAATTGATAAGACTGGCATATTTTTTTTTGTTGTTCTGTGCACAAATCAAATAAATTGTTTCATGAATGGAGATAATTTTAGGCATTGTATGTTCTTTAGGTTTATAATTAAATGAAATCTCAATACAAAGATACATGTGCAGGAAAAATATGATGAGGCTATGGCTTCCCTTGCTCAGATGGAGAACAGGGTGATCATGGCTGAATCTCTGTTGGAGGCTACCAAGCAATATGAATCTGGCCAAGCAAAAGCTTTATCTTCTCCAAGGTACATGAGTAATGATTAAACAATATTCTCTTTAATAAAATAAAGTTGGTTCGTTTTCCTCTTTTTTTTTTTTTTTTTTTTGACAAATTTGTAAGAGGTTAGAAAGAAACCGTTACCCTAGAGAGGAGAAATGCATTTATACGTTACTTGACGTCATTGGGCCGAAGGTCCAAGTGCAAACGTGGTTCGTTTTTAATTTCTAATTGAAGGGAAAAAAATAAAAAGGGAGAATTTTGCTTATAATACCTCTGCCTCGGTATTAAAATTTAGCCTTGCACATTGAAGACGATTAGGCTGTTGCTATCTTTTGTTGATTATTCTGGACAATTTAGAAACCAAGAGAAGGAAGACTACTGATGCTTGGCTGTGGTTATGACCACACTTATTATTGTTAGGACCACATAGTTTTGACTAATATTTTATTAGCTTGGCTATTAAGAACAACGGAAAATAATTGATAAAACATTTAATATCAATATTCAACAAATTAAAATTAGTTTATAAGCAAATGTTTCTATACTCATAACTAATTGTTTTAAAAAATATAACTATAAATTAATAAAATATCAATCAAATTGAATGACTTTAATATATGTGGTCATAACCACAATACCTCCACCAAACTTTATGATATGATATGATATGGTGTGAGACTACTATTCTTTATATAGTAACATCGAAAATTTGGGTTGAAATTAGATCCAATTTCTGTTAAATCTGCTTATAGTCAAATGAATTTTTTCTTCAAGAAGTCAAGACAATTCAATGTGGATTTGGTGTCTTATTGAGGCAGTGTGCCTTGTAGGTCTTCCCGTAGTCAAGGTTCTTCACAGGACAGTCCCAGAAAAAGGACAGGCATATTGTCATTTGGACTTGGATGGCGTGACCGAAACAGGGTATAAATTTTGCATTGCCAATTCAATTTCTGTTTCTCGAACAAATCAGTCAACGCAGCTTCTGGTTCTTGGTTTCCCTAACCCACTTCCTCCATTTCCTTTTGCCTGCTTTTGCTCCAGACATGAAATTAAATTCCTTGTGCAGAGTAAAGCTATCTTTGATGAGTCCGTTGACAATCCATGCAGTCCAGGGAGAGAAACTAGCAACCAAGAAAAGGAACAGTAGAATCAAGGGAAGCCTATAGCGATGAATCTGTGACTTAATGGTTTCTAACAACGCTCTTGTTCTCTGTAATGAATATCCCAGTAGAACAAAGTAGCTTTGTAACAGTATGGGTAGAATTAACTGCGTTGCACTTTTTTTGCAATTCATTAAACAAAGATTTTCACTTTAGTATCCGTGTAGATTTTCTAATGGAAAAAGTGTTGTGGAGTCTAAATTGCTGGTTACGCCATAAATGGTAAAAATTTAGGATTATGCCATATGTCAAAATATTTTTAAACGGAGGGAGGAGATTTTTTCATGTTAGATCTGTTATTCTGAGCTTCATAATAGATCAGTTGTCACATTGATAAAAAATAGAGATAAAGATGAGATTTTATTGTGTAATTATCTCTTTGAGGTAAAAAAGGAACTGTTTCAACTAAAATATAAGAGAAGATTGTAGTTAAAGAGGGGTTTCATTTGATAAGGGCACATGTGACGAAAATTTAGAAAGAGATCAAACCAAATCAATAGGTGAGCTGTTCAACTACTTTAAGAAATCACCCACAATTTTGTAACTGCAAAAAGTGAGAGTTACTGCTAGCTAAAGGAGAACAAAAAGGAAATTTTAAAAGGAAGAACACATGGCCTACCCTACTCAAACATCTACAAATTTTCAAACTTTATTTTCTTTGCAGTTGCTTCCAGATTTCGGATTTTAGAACAATTTCCAATAAATTTGGGTTGTTTTTCATCATCCCAGTAGATAGACTAATTCATGTATTCGCTTCAACAATTTCGTTTCATGCAATGAATTTCAATCTTTCAAGTTTATTCAAGGTACTGTTTCTTTTCTGTCTGTAATTAATTTTATGTTTATGATAACTGGCATTTCTTCAATGATTACTTATATAGCATTTATGCTTCTTCTTAATTTCAAGCAAGTTAATTTATTCACTGTTCATGTTTAATTTTAATGCTAATTAAGGTTTATTCTCCAATTTTGCAATAATTTAATTTACATATCTGTCAGTAAATACCATTTTAATTTAGCAATGAACATGTTTAATTTAATTTAGGTACAGTTTTTTCTCGCAAATTTACTTTAAATTGCATGCTATTTAGGTTAATTAGGATTTGTTAATTTTAAGTTACAATAGTGTTTAAGTCTTTGAAATTGTCCAAGACAGATTTCGTAACCCATTTTGCAAAAAAATATCCCTCCCTCTTGTAAATCGTCTGTAGGCGCAGATTTCAATTTTAAGGATCCTTTCTTACTTTCAACAAAATAAATGGTACGTCCACATCCAGATTTCACACATGCGAGGCTATTAGAGCATTTTTAGATTTTTAGGAAAACAACTGCACAACAGCTGATCATTGATTTACAATCCATTATAGTCTAAAATGTAAACAGGGCTTTCTTTTTCTAATACCATGATAGTTAAATCATTCAATATAATTTAGAGATAATTTAGAGTACCATCACTGTCACTGTCATACATGGCAGATCCGTAAAAGTCAAAACAACTTTCCAGTAAGGTGTCAAATTATTGAATATGACAAATAAGCAAAGCAGCCTGTGTAGTAGTTTCTAACAAACAATAAGCAAATACTGTAAATGATTACCATTGTTGTTCCAGCAAAATTGAAAGCAGCCATGAATATATATTTATTTTCATTTACACTAAGAAACCTCTGCAGATCATTCCCCAATCAGCAGCAGCACCTATATCTGGTTACAAGGGTAAGTAATAGACAAGATTACCTTCTGCCAGGTGGGAGCTTTGGATTTACTGCGTGGTAGGTTGATATTTTTGAGAAGCAAGGTAACTCAGAGCTGTTACCACATCGGCAATGACTGGACGTGAATTTGG